AGGAATGTGATTTTCATGAATTGGTGGGGCCCTGGCTCCTCCCGCCCCCCCTCCCTTTTTTTGGGGGGTGGGGGGCTTGACAAACCTAGGGGTTCCTTGAAATTCTGAAAAGGGTTCCTCGGCCAAATAAAATTGGGAAACACTGCTCTAGTTAGTTAATTATTGTAGTTTAGAAAAGTTGTAAGTCCCTTGGGGACATTGGCTGGAGAGGAGGCTTACCCAGTTCCCCAAGCTTTAAGTTATGTAGTAACTGTGGCTGGCCCATGCCTCTTAGTGAACCTCAGAATAACTGTCTACAGTGCTTGGGAGAAACACTCTTTAGTGATAACTGCCACAGCTCGAAAAGGAGAGGGATATTCATTTTTGAAGGCTCTCCTGATGGAATCTGCTTTAGCACAGCTGGCAGCCACGTATCGCTGATCCTCGTCCTCGGCTCCAGATAAGAAGCCAAAGGTGATCACTAGAGGCAGGTCTTCACGCCCACAGGAGGAGAAGATCAAGCAGGCAACTGACACGGATCCTGCATTAGCAGCTCCATCCACCTCCAAAGGTTCTGTCTGAGTGGGATAGTCCATCCCACTCCTGACTGCCTACCCTGGCCAGTGGCAGCCAACTCAGTGCTTCCCATGCCAGGGGTAGCCATGCCCCAACAAGGGAAAGCCCGTGGTTGGTCCACCTTGGTCCCCCGCATAGACAGCTCTCCCTCTTCAGTGGACTTTGTGCCACAAAACCCACTAACAGTCAGAAGACCCATAGCCTGGTGCAGTACCAAGGGCCCAAGGGTTCTTGGTGATTCAAGGCACTGGTAGCTGAGTGTAGACACATTTACCATATCTGGGAATGATTCTTTCTCTGGTCTAGTCACTGCTCCAGGGACAGGTCCTCTCCCCACTACATCATCATGTGGCAGGCACTGTCTAAATTCAAGTCCATCCTCAGAAAAGGAGGTCTGGGCTCTCACTAAAGAGAGCACTATAGCTGCCAGAGCAGAACTTCAGGTGGCATCTCATGGCTGACTTGGTGACCCATTCCATGATGACTGCTGTCTCCATGCAGAGGGTGTTTTGGCTGCTCTTCTCAGATCTCACCAATGTTCCTTCTAGTTTTTTCCATCTGCATGCAGAACAAATTTTGTTTGTTTGTGCACCTCCAGTAGAAACATGCTGCTGGCTGTGGTTGCTCTGCTAATCAGCTGGGCAGCCTTTGAATCTCTCCTGCATGGCCGCCCAAGTGCATAGCTTACAGGAAACACTGCTCTCCACAGTAGTGCAACAGTCAATTCAGTACCTTCCCTTTTACAGGGCCTCCCTCTTTGCTAAGTAAACGGACACAGTTACACACATTGAAAGACTCAACACAACCCTGCAGACATTGGGCTCACCCATAAAAAGATTAAGCCACTGCCGTATCAGCCTCAAGCTTCCCATTCCCGTCAGGAAGTAACACAGAGCAAGTTCAGAAGCTATAGGACAGTGGTCCCCAACCTTTCGTGGCTGCTGGGCATCCAGGGGCGGGGCTGCTCATTTGCCGTGCACCCGGGGGCGGGGCCACCCATGCACCCTGTGCCTGGGGCTGGCACCGCGCATGTGCCACACATCCAGGGCAGGGGCCACCCATGAGCCATGCACCCGGGGTCGGCACCACACATGTGACGCACGCTGGGGGGGGCAGCCCAGATGTTTTGGCGGGTGCACATAAATGCCCCGGCGGGCACCGCGTTGGGGACCACTGGGCGCTAATGAAAGGATCTGAGTCCTTGCTCCTCCTTTCTTTACCTAGAGGCCTCCCTGACATCCAGGGCTCCCCTTCCACTCTCCTGTGTGGCAGAGTCCTTGTAACCCCAACAGGTCACTTGGTCACCCTAATGGCTACAGCTCTGCTTCCAGCATATCTCTTCTCTTTGGGCTGCTTCTGAAGTTCTACCCCAGGAACGACCTGCTTCCTGAGCTGCTTCTTTGGCTTTTGTTGCCATGGCCCTGTTCCCAGCACAGATTGACTCCCTGGGCTGCTTCTCTGGCTGGAACAGCTCTGCTCCCCAGCTCTGCTCCGGACCCTGTGCTCTCCTTAGATTGGCCCACCCTGTTCCAGGCAATTCCAGTTCACTGGAAGGATGGGACTCCCTGATTAGCCAGCCAACCCTGTCAATCAGGCTAACCTAGGGCATTGGTGTCTCCCCATTGCCCAGGGGACTCAGTCTCAGGGTCCTGGTTTCTGCACACATACAACATTTGTATCTTCAAAAATGAGCTGTGGACCTGTGTCATAGCCAGCACCACTTCTTACACAGGTGAGAAGTAATAAAACCCAGTCTCACCAACTCCAAACAGGTTCTCTCATTACCAAAGGACCAGCCACAGTCCCAGGTCAGTCTATACCTCAGATCTTACTTTTAAAAGAGCACGCTCTACCCATCCTTTAGACCAAAGGATTATAAAAAAAGAAAAGGTTGAGAGTGGGATTGTTGTATGTCATGTGCTTTCTTTAACAGTCATCAGGTTCTTGATGCAGGCTTTTAGCAGAGCTTACCAAACTTCTAGCTTAAAAGTCCCTGGAGTACATCCTATGTTAGGATGGGTCCACGAATCCTTCCGGCCCCTCTGTCCTTAGCCCAGGTGCTTCTAGAGCAGAGGGCAGGAGTGAAGACAAGATGGAGGCACCTCCAGGATACTTTTATAATCTTTACCCATGTGGAGGGAAAACCCATTCCTCTTCTGTATGCTGGTACCTCCCAAAATGGACTGATTACATGATCCACAAACTAATTTCCGTCCTTTTTATGCAAGGAGCTATGTAATCTCTAGGGCTACGTCTACACTGGCATCCTTTTCCGGAAATGTTTAAAATGGAACAGTCTTCCGTTATAAGTATTTCTGGAAAAAGCGCATCTACACTGGCAGGATGCTTTTCCGGAAAAGCACTTTTTCCGGAAAAGCATCCGTGCCAATGTAGACGCGCTTTTCTGCAAAAAAGCCCCAATCGTCATTTTTGCGATCGGGGCTTTTTTGCGGAAAAGAAATCTGTGCTGTCTACACTGGCCCTTTTCCGGAAAAGCACTGATGATTTTACAGTAGATCGTCAGTGCTTTTCCGGAAATTCAAGGGGCCAGTGTAGACAGCTGGCAAGTTATTCCGGAAAAGCGGCTGATTTTCCGGAATAAGTGGCCAGTGTAGACACAGCCTAGGTGTGTCTTTTCTAAGCAGGAGGCCATTGTGTGCTCTTCAAGTGTCAATTGGCAACCGTTAAGAGCCTTTGTCCATGCAGCATTGAGCAATCGCTCCTCCTTGTAGAAAACATTTAAAATATAAATACAAAGCCCATATTCACAACTTTACACATGCATATTGTACAAGTACATGAGTAGCCTGCATAGAGCCAGCATAGTGTGAGTGTTCATTTGACATCTCACATTGCCCACTTTGCACCAAATTTAGGGCAAAAACACACTAGTGGGTGCAACAATGATCTGCCTATTCATGTTAAAACCCAATAACGTGACAGCACGGCCACAGCAATGGGGCTGTGACTAGCTCACCCCAGCAATGGGCAGAGCATAACCATGGCAACGGGGCAGTGACCAGCTCACCCCAGCAATGGGCGGGGCATGGCCATGAAAACAGGGGCTATGGCCAGCTCACACCAACAAGTGGCAGCTCAGCCAAGCAATGCACAGATCATTGAGTACTCTTTTTGCCTGGGGGATCAAGGCTCATCTGGCTTCCAAACACCTGCCTTAACCACTAGACACCACTCCCATTGCTGCTTCACCCAGCTGCCTGCCTGCTATAGGCCTCGTGCAGTGCAGTTCATATAATCTGCCCTGCTGTGGGCTGGCGGCTCTGCGTTGCAGGGACAGTTGGAGTTGCTGCAGTAACAGCAGGACCTGGGGTAACCAACACTGTGACAGCTGTGAAGAATGCCCAGATGGCAGAGTCCCCGGTGTTGCTGATTGGCGGGGCAGCTGCGACACTGCAGAAGGTGAGTCCTTGCTGCTGCCAAGAGCAGGAGCGAATGCCATGCTGCAGCAGGTGGATCCCCATTATGGTGGACCCACCACACCACAGCAGGAAATCACTTCCAGCTCCAGCCTTGGGCAGCTGGAGCTGTCCAAACAGAAGGGTCAGTTGCTGCCGGTGTGTGGAGCAGGAGCAGTCTGGCACAGATCCTGCTGAGGGGGAAAAGAGAGAGACGTCTTGCATTTCTCACCCCCATCTCCTGTTGGCTGTGAGGTCTTGTCCCCTCAGCCCAAGGATTTCTGCTGCCCCGTTGCCAGATGGATAGTCAAAGGGATATGGCCATGGCAACAGAGGGCAGTGACAAGCTCACTCCAGCAATGGGCAGGGCATAGCCAGGGCAACAAGAGAGCAGTGACCGGCTTGCACTAGCAGTGGGAGGGGCATGGCTATGGCAGTGGAAACGGGCTGTTCTTAGTCCTCAGGGAGGAAGCAGCCTGGCTGGGGGCATCCTTGGGCATTGGGTTCTGCCGGGCTGTCAGACTGCAGTTCTGTCTGTCTGCGCAGGACCGGGGTGCTCTCCAAGACATCGACCAGCTGTGCCTCTTCAGGCCACTCTGCAAGTTCTGTGCGTCGGTGAGGACCGTGCGGGACATTGTCCCCACACTGCGAAAGGCCATCGTGGCAGCGCAGTCCGGCACTCCAGGTAAAAGCCTTTCTCCTGGGATTTATCCTCCTCTGCAGCAAAGGGGTTATTGGGCTGGGAGGTTTTCCTATCCCACATCTCGCTAGGTCTATCCCATTACCCTCTTGCTATCAGATCAAACTCACTTGATTGTAGGTCCCGGCCCTGTTTTCTGAGACTGCTGCAGGCTCCCAGGAACATGTACCCTTACCCCTGCCAGTGTTCCCAGCTGATCAGACAACTGGTTTCAATACCTTTCCATGAAGCTTAATCTGTGTTCCACTGTGGGTGCAAGCCCCAGGAGAGAGGAGCTGGAGAGTCAGTACCTGCTCTGAAAGTGGGGTTTGTATCAGGTCAGGGAACTGAACCTATACTTCCTCTCTGGTTCAGCAAGGGCACCCTCTGTGGGCTTCTGGCTTCCCAGCCATCACCTCTCGTGAGCGGAAACCTCCTGCCTCCTGTCCAGGATTTTCCAGGCTGCAGAGTACCCTGCCCACACTGTGAGCTTCCCAGCAAGCCAGACTGAGCAGGCCTACTTTGCCTCTCTTCTCATGGGCTATATAGACAGCAGAATTGCCACAGGTCTAAGGAACCCCACAGCTTCTTCTAAGCAAGCACACTGATTCCTAAGGTGAAAGTACGACAGAGAAAACATATTAAAACAACTGAAAACCCTACACACAAGCTAATGAACTTACTGGAGATCACCCAACTCTAAGGGCTCTGACCTCTAATTTGTCCTTCGTACCCCATCAAGGAGTTTCTCTGTGGTTATCAGGAATCTGAGAGTCACTCTCTATCCAGTGTTAGTGTTTGAAGAGACTTTGAATAGGTCAGCAGCCAGACAATGGATTTCTCCTCACAGTGCAGCTTCAGAACAGTGGGGTCTGCAGACACTTGCCTAGGAGCCCCACTCAATTTCACTGATCTGGCCCACAGCTTTGAGTCATATCATGACATTCAAACCTTCCCAGGTTTGCATCAGGCCTGGCACCCCTGAAGCAGTTTGTATTTAATGGCATGCCAGGACTGAGAGAAACTTGGGAAGTTTCGAGTGCCAGTCAAACATAAGCACTGGCTTTCGGAATACAAGGAACTCATGAAATACTTAATTCAGTAAGATTTGTCGAAAATGTTGCAGGAAATTGCCATACCTGTCCGAAGGCTAAACCACCTATTGGATGTACAGGGAGGGCCCCATGTGCTCCCTAAACGGATCCACCTCAAAAATACAGGCTTTCTGGTGTAATCAGGGGAGAAGGACTGGATTAAAGCAAACTGCCCAGGCATGTCCTGACCAGTAAAGCTCACTCAGATACTTTTAAACATGTGGGCATGGGGCAAGAGGGGAGGAGCTAAGAGTGTGGGATGGAAAAGATTTAAACATCCATCAGAGTCAACACTCAGTTGCTATAGATTGACAATGTACATCTCCGAGGGCCAGCATTGATCTTCCTTCACCAAGAGGGGGAACTGCAAGGCTGGTGCATGGTCTTCTCCTGCCCCCTGGGAAGAGAGTGTGGAAGGCAGCCTTGGGCAGGGCCAGGGTGCCCTGCATATATTCACAGAAGGGACTATTGTAATCATCTCATCTGATCCCTCCCTGGTACAGGCCAGAGAACTTCTCTGAACCAGTTCCTGCTCCCTGTCGAGTAGATGTGTTAAAACTAGAGCACAGCTCTTGGAAATACTTTCTATCCTGATTGTAATACAGGCTGTGATGAAGAATGCATTGGTGGTTAATAGGTTAAGTGGATGAGTAATCTGTTTAAAAAATTGGACCTTTTTCTAGTCTGAATGTATCTATCTTCAGCTTCCAGCCATTCCATTGTTTATACCTGTCTCTGATAGACTGAAGAGACCAGGATCCATTTTTTGTCCTGCAGTAGGTGCTTAAGAACTGCCATCAAGTCCCCCCTTAACCTTCTTTTTGTTAAGTTAATTGAATTCAGCTCCCTGAGTCTATCCCTATAAAGGATGTTTTCCAGACATTCTTGGGGCTCTCTCTGAACCCTTTCCTATGGCTCTTCATAGCTTTCCTTTGCGGTGAAATAGCTTTTGTCTGGCCTGCCCTGACCCGTTGAGTGATGGTTTGGAGCATTGGCATCAGCATTGAGCAGAGCCCAGGTTCTATGGGACTACAGTATTGGGTAGAGGCAGAGCCCCCCATGAGGTGACAATTTGGGGTGTCATTGTAGGGTAGGGCTGAATCCTGGTTTGCCTATGTCCTGCAGGACTATAATTCAGGATATTGGCATTGGACAGGATGGGAGCCTCTGAGGCCATGCCCTGGAGAGTGTTGGTGTTGTGTAGGGATGTTACCCATGCCCTGTGGGCCAGTGGCACTGGGCAGGGCCAGAGCCTAGTCTACCCATGGCTCTGTGCTACAGGCCCTGTCACTCTGTGCTACAGGCCCTGTGTTTGTGGAGTTCCCAATTGACGTTCTCTACCCATACCACTTGGTGGAGAAGGAGCTGGGCTTCAAAGGGACCTCCAGTGGGCTGCTGGGTGGCATCATCAACTGGTGAGTACAGCCCTGTCCTAATAAGGGCAGAACTGAGCCGGGAGCTAACAGCTGTCCCTTTACCTCACCCGCAGGTACCTGTGCAACCACCTCAGGAACCTATATGCAGGGGCCTGGGAGACAAGGGATGTCTCCCCGCTTCTCGTGCAGGTGCCACAGGCCACAACAGAGCAGGTGAGAGTCAGTGGATTGCCTGGTGCTCCCTCCTTTCAAGGATTCCCCCCGCCGACCCCCCCCGAACTGCTCATTAGCACACCGCCCTCCCGTGCACAGCAAGCACATCCTGAGAAGGAAAAGGGAAGGAGCATTGTTCCATGGGGCCCACATCATCCTACAGCGATAATTCTGCCCGTGTGTGTGCCCTTCATCTCTCTCTGCCAGCCACCTGTCCTGGCACTAGCTCTATCATGTCCTCAGAGCTGTAGTTTCAGTGATATCCTGCTTCCTAGCTTCCCTAACAGTTTTTTCCTCATCCTTGTGCCACTGGCTGAACTCTGCCCAGGAGCAGTTCCAAGGGCCTTGTGACACCTGCTCAGCCACTGGCACTGCTTCCACTGACTGGCGGTTCCTGCCCAGCTACTGACATAGACACACACATCCTCCACTCTGCCAGGCTGTGCACAGCAACTGTACTGACCCCTGCCAGGCTCTGATGATGCTACCCGTTTGTGTGCAGGTACAGCAGTGCATGGAGCTCGTCAGCCGTGCCAAGAAGCCTGTCATGCTCCTGGGTAGCCAGGTGACCCTGCCCCCAACTCCTGTGGAGAAGCTCAGGTGAAGAGATGGCTCTGTTTAGAGTCCTGCCCTAGGCCCAGCTCTCTGTGTGGGTAGGACCCTCAGGGCTCTTATCCTGCGTTTTCTGCTCTGCCCATCTGTAAGCTGGTGGCCTGGCTGTATGCACACCGGGTGAGAGCACCCACCTGTCCTGGCTTGACAGAGAGACCTGCAGCTGTCAGACTGGACAGAGGGAGAGCTGGAATAGGAGGGGGCTGCAGATTGAGATTGAGGGGCACAGGCAGAGCTGGATGGCATGCGGTCTGCATGGGCAGAGCCTGCTTTGTCTGGTTCCAAGGGGGCTGTCGTTTACTGAACCAGAAATGTCTTCCCCTGCAAGAAACAAGAATGTGGCATGTCTTCCTTCCACTCATGCAGCACGTGCTCATGCACACAGCCACTCATACGCTCCTCGCACCTCTCCTTCCTTGCATGTGCCACTCGCCTTGCCCTGCCAAACGCTCCCTCCTCAGACACTTTTCCGCTTGCTCACCCTCCTGGGTGCACGTATACACATGGGCGGTGCTAGTAATGCACGTGTTCACTGCAGGGCTCTGCACCACCTGTTGTGAGAGGTCTCAGCAGCTCACTCTTCCCTGTGTCCTACAGGGAAGCCCTGGAGGCCCTTGGCATCCCTTGCTTCCTGGGTGGGATGGCCCGTGGCATGCTGGGAAGAGACAGTCCACTACACATCCGCCAAAACCGCCGTGAGGCACTGAAGGCAGCTGATCTGGTCATTCTGGCAGGTGTGTGGGGTGCAGGATGGGAACCTGACCTGTAGGCTGTCACAGCTCTGGGTCATTGGATTTGGGAGTGACAGGAAGCTGGAGTGGGAGGGCAGTGGATTGTGGGGCAGGGCTGGAGGAGCCTGATGCTAGGTGTAGTGGGGCTGTGCAGTGGCAGTGGAGGGGTAACAATTGCGGGGGATTGTGGAGTGGGGTTGGATAGTGGGAGGGTAATGCTCAAGGGGACATGGTATGTGGGGTGAGGGCTGTGTAGTGGTGGGGCTGTGTAGTCTCAGGGTATGTCTACACTACCCTCCTAGTTCGAACTAGCGGGGTAATGTAGGCATACCGCACTTGCTAATGAAGCCCGGGATTTGAATTTCCCGGGCTTCATTAGCATAAGCGGGGAGCCACCATTTTTAAATCCCCGCTGCTTCGAACCCCGTGTAGCGCGGCTACACGGGGCTCGAACTAGGTAGTTCGGACTAGGGTGCCTATTCCGAACTACCGTTACTCCTCGTTTCACGGGGCTGGGCACTGGGAGTAATGCTTGAGGGGATATAGGGCTGTGTGGGTTGTGGAGTGAGGAAGCCAGATGTGGTAGGACTGAGCAGTGAATCAGAATCCCAGGGTTGGAAGAGACCTCAGGAGTCATCGAGTCCAACCCCCTGCCCAAAGCAGGACCAACCCCAACTAAACCAGTCCCAGCTTGACAAAGCTCTGGCTGGGATTAAACACCTCTAGGGGTGGAGATTCCATCCCCTCCCTAGGGAACCCCTCCCAGTGCTTCACCATTCTCCTATATAAATATTTGTACCTAATATCTAATCTACCCTCCCCCCATGCAACTTGAGACCATTGCTCTTCATTCTGCCGTCTGTCACTACTGTGAACAGCCTCTCTCCACCCTCTTTGAAACCCCCTTTCCGGTAGTTGAAGGCTGCTATCAGATCCCCCCTCACTCTTCTGTAGACTAAATAAGTCTAAATCCCTCAGCCTCTCCTCATTAGTCATGTGCTCCAGACCCCTGATCATTTTGGTTGCCCCCCCACTGGACTTTCTCCAGTTTGTCCACATCCTTTCTGTAATGGGGGACCCGGAATTGAATGCAATACTCCAGATGTGACCGCACCTGTGCTGAATAAAGGGGAATAATCACTTCTCTAGATCTGCTGGCAATGTTCCTCCTAATACAATCAAATACCATTTGCTGCCTTTGCTACACGGGCACCCCACTGACGCGTATCCAGCTTCTCATCCACTGTAATCCCCAGGTCCATTTCTGCTGAACTGCTGCTTAGCCAGTCAGTCCCCAGCCTGTAACAGCTCTTGGGATCCTTCCATCCCAAGTGCAGGACTCTGCCCTTGTCCTTGTTGAACCTCATCTGATTTCTTTTGGCCCAAACCTCCAATTCATCTAGGTCACTCTGGACCCTCCAGTGTATCCACCTCTTCCCTAGCTTAGTGTCATCTGCAAACTTACTGAGGGTGTCAACCAACCCCTCATACAGGTCATTAAAAATGTTAAACAAAACCAGCCCCAGAACCGACCCTCAGGGCACTCCGCTTGATACCAACCAGACATAGAGCCACTAATCATTGAGCCCAATGATCTAGCCAGCTTTCTATCCACCTTACAGGCCATATATTCAATCTATGCTTTTTTTAACTTGCTGGCAAGAATACAGGTGGAGACTATCAAAAGTCTTCCTAAAGTCAAGATGTATCACATCTAGTGCCTTCCCCATATTCTCAGAGACAGTTACTTCCTCATAGAAGGCAGTCGGGTTGGTCAGGTGAATCCAGTGTTGATGATTCCTGATGACTTTTCTTTCTTCCAAAGTGCTTCAACGTGGGTAGTGCTCACAGGGTTACAGCCTGGGTGGGTTGTGGGGTGAAGAAAGCAGATGTTGGATGTGGTGGGACTGAGCAATAGTGGGAATGCTCAAGGCGTTATGAGGTTGTTCAGCTTGTGGGGTGGGGGAGCTGACCTGACCCTCACCCCTGTCATTCCCCACGGCAGGCACAGTGTGTGATTTCCGTTTATCCTATGGTCGAGTGCTGAGTCGGAGAAGCACAATTATTGCTATCAACCGGGACCGTGCCCAGCTGCTGCGCAATTCAGATGTCTTCTGGAAGCCTCACGTGGCCATCCAAGGTGAGAGGGGGACGAGTGCTTGGCATTCTGCATCAAAGTTGGCTGCCATTTTGCTGCTGCTGAACTCCCCCTGCTCCTGCTCCTGCCCATGCCTTGCCTCAGTGAGTGCCTGGACTCCTGCCCAGACTCAGGGAGCACCCAAGGCATCCTTCCCTGGAAGCAGAGTGGGCACAGGGGAGGGAACGACAGAATCACCACCTTGCTAACAGAGATGGACCCCAATGAGTAAGTGGCTCGTATGGGCAGCAGAGCCTGTCCACCGTGCAGCTGGTAGTAGGCTGGGACATGTGCCAAGCTCTACAGCTGTGTTGCTGCAGACCAACTATGCTCTGATACTGGCACCCCTTGGAGTCCGTGGTACCTGCTTCAGCTCAGCTTGTCCAGTCACAATCTCCTGCTGCCCACTCGCTCCATAGGAGACGCCGGCTCCTTCCTGCTCCGCCTTTCCCAAGGACTCACGGGTTACTCACCACCTCAGGACTGGCCAGCAAGTCTGAAGGATGGCGACCACAGGAAGGAGAAAGCAAACCGGTAAGTGGCAGGGCTGATGGCGTGGCATAGTCCTCGCAGTGTTATCTGGGAGAGAGATTAGCTTGTTCCTGTGCCGGGTGGCAGGGGGCAGTGTCACTGCGGGAGAGGCAGTAGGGCTCAGCCCTGTGCCAGGCTGCGGAGGACAGTGTCCCCACAGGAGGGGCAGTAGGGCTCAGCTCTGTGCCAGGCTGCGGAGGACAGTGTCCCCACAGGAGGGGCAGTAGGGCTCAGCTCTGTGCCAGGCTGCGGAGGACAGTGTCCCCACAGGAGGGGCAGTAGGGCTCAGCTCTGTGCCAGGCTGCGGAGGACAGTGTCCCCACAGGAGGGGCAGTAGGGCTCAGCTCTGTGCCAGGCTGCGGAGGACAGTGTCCCCACAGGAGGGGCAGTAGGGCTCAGCTCTGTGCCAGGCTGCGGAGGACAGTGTCCCCACAGGAGGGGCAGTAGGGCTCAGCTCTGTGCCAGGCTGCGGAGGACAGTGTCCCCACAGGAGGGGCAGTAGGGCTCAGCTCTGTGCCAGGCTGCGGAGGACAGTGTCCCCACAGGAGGGGCAGTAGGGCTCAGCTCTGTGCCAGGCTGCGGAGGACAGTCTGCGGAGGACAGTGTCAGTAGGGCTCAGCTCTGTGCCAGGCTGCGGAGGACAGTGTCACTGCGGGAGGGGCAGTAGGGCTCAGCCCTGTGCCAGGCTGCGGAGGACAGTGCCACTGCGGGAGGGGCAGTAGGGCTCAGCCCTGTGCCAGGCTGCGGAGGACAGTGTCACTGCGGGAGGGGCAGTAGGGCTCAGCCCTGTGCCAGGCTGCGGAGGACAGTGTCCCCACAGGAGGGGCAGTAGGGCTCAGCCCTGTGCCGGGCAGCAAGGGGCGGTGTCACTGCGGGAGGGACCAGAGGGCTCAGTCTATGCTGTGTAGAAGTGGGGTGAATGGGCTGAGCTGAGCCTGAGTGCAGCCCCAGAGCCTGGATGCTCTCGGTCCTTGTCATGCTGTGAAGGGCTGACAGGGCTGCTGGCAGTGTAGTGACTGCCCTCCTCCCTTTCCCCCCCTTCCCCCCCTTCTCCCGCTGTGTGTAGGGAGAAGTCAGAGGAGACAACAGAGCAACACTTGAACCCACTCAAGCTCCTGCACCATGTAGATGACTTGCTGCCAGAGAACAGCCTGCTAGTTGTAGACGGGGGCGACTTCGTGGGGAGTGCTGCCTACATCATGTGGCCTCGGGGGCCCCTGTGCTGGCTGGACCCGGGTAATGGGGGCTCCCTGGAGCTGGCACTGCTCCCTATCCCACATAGGGGCTGAGATGGCGTCAGATCCTTTGCAAAGCTTCAGTAGTGTAGCTGAGCCCACAGTCTGTGTCCTACTGCTCTGAGCTAGGTCTGGCAGTTCCCAGAGGTGGTCTTCTGCCCCATCGGTGTGGAACCACTGCCCTGGTACAGACTGGACCCATAATGCCTGAGGAGGTGGTTAGCTGGCCTCACTGGAGGACAAAGCTTGGGGTGGGAGCAGCTGAAGGCACGCTGGACTGGTGACAGGAGCCCATGGGAGCAGGTATAGGGATGTTGAACCGTTGTGCAGGCTTTCTGCTCTGTGAGGGCTGGGCTCAGAAGGGGACAGGTGTAATTTTCATGCCTCTGCTTTCCCTGGCATGCCCTGGCGAATTCAGGCATCCCCTCTACATTGTCCTCTCTTCCCAGGAGCTTTCGGCACGCTGGGTGTTGGGGGAGGATTTGCTCTTGGAGCCAAACTGTGCCGGCCAGACTCCGAGGTCAGTAACCAGCCAGCCAAAGGAGGGGCTCTAGTGGGGTGCCCCATGGCCTGCCAGGGGATTTCTAACAGGCTGCTGTGTGGAAGGCAAGTGCCCCCTGGTCCTAATGGCTCTGACCAGGCCTGCCATGGTGGCAGGGTATCCCCAGAGTATCGCTGGCTCTCAGGCTTCCCTCCATTTTCTTCACTTTGCCTGTGTCCTGCAAGAGGCCTCTCTCAACCACATTGGCCCCCACGCTTAGACCCAGCATGGGAGGCAGAGGCCACCCCTCCCTCCTCCTGTTCTAGTTAAAATGGGGGGAAGTGTTCACCCCTCCCAGGGCTCTACCAGGGGAACTTCACCTCCCTCCCATGCCCTCAGGTCTGGATCATCTATGGAGATGGCTCCCTTGGCTACAGCATCATGGAGTTTGACACCTTTGTCCGTCACAAGGTAACCTCCTCCCTACTGCACCAGTGGAGTCCCTGGGGGGACCAAGCCCAGAGTCCCCTGAAATGGGGGGCTCTGCCCAACTGCCCCACATCAATGAGGTCCTTGCCCAGTTACCACCACATTGCACCAAGTTCAGACACAAATTGAGAACTAAAGGAGCACTGCACATATGGGAATGGCCACAGCCCTGAAGGCTGCAAATGTGTCTGTGGTCCCATTGCTAGGAATTGTTGGGCCTTCCCCTGCCCCTGTAAATGGGCTTGGGGCCATGAAGTTAATCTCGGCAGCATCCCCAGACCCTTCACAGCTCTCCCCTTCATTTCTGTTCATTTTCCAACGTGCAACATAGGGGCTGATTGGGGAGCGGGGACAAAACACAGAGGAGATCCAGGCAGCAGGAGCTGGCATGGACCCAGTGTAGTGGGAGGGTCAGGGCCCTGAGGCAGAGATTGCCTTTCCCTTCTGGTCCACTTTCCTTGTTTTTTCAGACACCCGTCATCGCACTGGTAGGGAATGATGCCTGCTGGAGTCAGATCTCCCGTGAGCAGGTCCCTTTGCTGGGCAGCAACGTGGCCTGTGGCCTGGCCTATGTGGGTGAGTCTTGGCTACCATTAGCCAGTTGCTCTGGAGATATGACTCCAGAATACTGCATGGTAATGCATGCTTGATACGGGCCCTGGGCTCCTCTGGATCCTGGTACCTGTGCAGCCTGTCCCCAGGAAGGACACCCATTGTGTGCTGCTCCTAGGGAGGAACAGAACACAGGATGTTCCCAAAATTAGTGCGAGTCCTATGACTTCTCTGGATTTGTGTCCCAGCACTGATGCCTGAACTTGAAATGGCCCCTTTTTGATGGGCCACCACGGGCTGGGGAATTCCCTCCCAGGCTCCCCAGCTGCATTCCTGGAGGCTGCCCACCCCATCCTGCCTTCCATCCCTCTCTGCTGCCTGCCACTCACCCCTGGTATGCCGCCCTGCTGGAACTGGCTCTGCCTGTTTGGGTGTCAGTGCTGTGTCTGGGCCCTGCTGCAGCCCGTGGTAGCATTGCTAATAGGTGGTCTTTTCCCTGAGCAGATTACCACTTGGTGGCCGAAGGCTTGGGGGGTAAAGGTTTCCTCCTCAGCCGCCAGAATGAAGAGCACATGGACCGAGTCATCCAAGCAGCCCAGGAGACCTGCAAGGAGGGACACCCCGCTCTGATCAACGCCCTGATTGGCAGAACCAGCTTCCGGGAGGGCTCCATCTCTGTGTAAGGCTGGGGCCAGGCCCAGCAGTGTTCCCTGTTCCCATATGAGGATACAGTAGCCTGCTGCAGGCCCCCTACGAACACCAGCATAGTACACCTTTTGGCACTTACTTGATCATCCTACTTGTCCTGGCCCCAGACCTGCTGAAGACTGACACCACTAAGGAGCTCAAGTCCCTGAACCGGAAACCTGTGCCAGGACAGGGTTCAGTCCCTTTCTTCTGCTGAGCCAAGGGGCTGAACCTGAAGGCAGTGCAGAGCTCTGAGGCACTGAGCCAGCACCAGCTTTCAGAGAGGGGATGCTCCCATCTTTGCCAGACACCCACACTGCCCCAAGGTGGCAGGGTCAAGTCACAGCTTCTTTCGGTACCACACTAGGCAGGTACCTACCTATGCAGTAAAGCCTCACTTAGCAGGTGCCAGTTGTGCTTTGCCAAACTCTTGGCAGTAGTGAGAGCAACTGCAGGGATGGACTGGGAAGTGGAGCTGCTGTATGTCTTGAGGGAGTTCTGGCAGGATTCAGTCTAGCTCCACCAGAGCTGACTGCTGTCACCCCTGCAGTACACGGGGTGCACCTCCCTAGCTGGCCAGCCCAGGGACCTGGCTAGCCAGAGCCCTGTCATTCGTCACCCTCATACTCTCCAGCCTCGCAGTTGCCATTGCACTGACACTTCCCTGCTGGCCTCCAGCTGCTGCCACAATTAGGAGCCTGCATGTTCAAAGAGCACAGGAAGAGCGATGTGTGCTGCTGCTGCTCCCTGCCCCAGGTGCTCAGCTGTCCATTGCCTTCCTCCAGGGTAGCCCAGTCTGTTAGCAGGATGTTAACAGAGCAGTTCCCCCTCTCTCTCTTCAAGCACATGCACCCTACAGGGTTTTAGCCAACAATAAAGAGAAGGATGGTACCAGACTGTGGCTCTCTTGCTACTCTGTGGGAAGGATGTCATCCAGTTGCTAATAGAGGACACGTTGATCGGTTCAGTGCTCAGAGCATAAAGGAGAAGCTGTAGATGTGATGTGTCTTGACTATAGTCCATCTTTTGACACAACCCCCCATGACGGTCTCATACACAAACTGGGGAAGTAGGAAAGGACCATGAGGGCACAGTTAGTCCTGCCGGGTCAGTCCTGGGTGTGGTACAGTAGTTGACTTGAATAATACAAGGGAGAGCATGCTTATAACGGGGTTGCAAGCACTTTGCAGGACAAGTGTTCAAAACAATTTTTGAGAATTGATCAGAAGTTAAGATGAAATTCAGAAAAATGAAATTCATTCATTTAGGAAGGAAAAATTAATTACACACCTACAAAATGGGAGATGATTGGTGAAGTGCTGCAAAGGACCTTGTGGGTTATAGTAGACCATGAACAATAGGAGCCAACAATGTGGTGCATCTGTGGAAAAAGTCTTAATTCTGAAATGTATGAACAGGCATGGGGGTGTAAGACATGGGAGGTCACTGTCCTACTCCATACAGCAGTGATATAGTCTCAGCTGGAGTACTATATCCATTTCTAGCTGCCACACTTCAGATAAGCTATGGGAACATAGAAAGGGTCCCGAGGAGAGCAAAAAACAAAGGATTTAGAAACCAGTCTGTGAGGAAAGGTTTAAAAACTGTATGTGGAGTTATGGGGGGGGGGGAGACTGAGCAGGACTTGTTACCAGTCTTTGAATGTGTTAAGATCTACTGTAAGGCTGTGTCTAGACTGGCTAGTTTTTCCAGAAAATCAGCCGCTTTTCTGGAAAAACTTGCCAGCTGTCTACACTGGCCGCTTGAATTTCCGCAAAAGCACTGACTTCCTACTGTAAGAAATCAGTGCTGCTTGCGGAAATACTATTCTGCTCCCGTTCAGGCAAAAGTCCCTTTTGCGCAAAACTTTTGTGCAAAAGGGCCAGTGTAGAGAGCTCAGATTTGTTTCCGCAAAAAAGCCCTGATTGCAAAATGGCAATCGGGGCTTTTTTGCGCAAAAGCGTGTCTAGATTGGCACGTCTAGATTTTCTGCAAAAGCGTCTGTGCCAATCTAGATGCTCTTTTCCACAAATGCTTTTAATGGAAAACTTTTCCGTTAAAAGCATTTCTGGAAAATCATGCCAGTGCAGACGTAGCCATGGTGTGCAGGAAACTCCTCAAGCTCTGCGCCTGGGCTACGTCTAGACTGGGATGATTTTCCGCAAATGCTTTTAATGGAAAACTTTTCCGTTAAAAGCATTTCTGGAAAATCATGCCAGTGCAGACGTAGCCATGGTGTGCAGGAAACTCCTCAAGCTCTGCGCCTGGGCTACGTCTAGACTGGGATGATTTTCCGCAAATGCTTTTAATGGAAAACTTTTCCGTTAAAAGCATTTCTGGAAAATCATGCCAGTGCAGACGTAGCCATGGTGTGCAGGAAACTCCTCAAGCTCTGCGCCTGGGCTACGTCTAGACTGGGATGATTTTCCGCAAATGCTTTTAATGGAAAACTTTTCCGTTAAAAGCATTTCTGGAAAATCATGCCAGTGCAGACGTAGCCATGGTGTGCAGGAAACTCCTCAAGCTCTGCGCCTGGGCTACGTCTAGACTGGGATGATTTTCCGCAAATGCTTTTAATGGAAAACTTTTCCGTTAAAAGCATTTCTGGAAAATCATGCCAGTGCAGACGTAGCCATGGTGTGCAGGAAACTCCTCAAGCTCTGCGCCTGGGCTACGTCTAGACTGGGATGATTTTCCGCAAATGCTTTTAATGGAAAACTTTTCCGTTAAAAGCATTTCTGGAAAATCATGCCAGTGCAGACGTAGCCATGGTGTGCAGGAAACTCCTCAAGCTCTGCGCCTGGGCTACGTCTAGACTGGGATGATTTTCCGCAAATGCTTTTAATGGAAAACTTTTCCGTTAAAAGCATTTCTGGAAAATCATGCCAGTGCAGACGTAGAGTTCCTCCCTCTGGAGAGCAGAGAGCGTGTGGGGGTTTATGAGATGGTGAAGCCTTGGCTGGGCTCTGCAGAGGAAAGATGCAGGGGACTTGGCTGGTGGGCACCCTGCAGTTGAGTTCTAGACATGGGGGACTGGTTGTTCACCTCACACACACAGCTGCAGGGAGAGGGGCAAAGAAATTGCTTGTCATTGGGATCACTCTCTGCCCCAGAAGAAGTTTATTTGGTTGTCTGTCTTGTTACAGACATAGCTGCTAGCTGCTGACAGGTATTTTGAAATAAATTACCAAAATAGTTGAACCTGGCATGATTATTTTGTGTCTGTGACAAAATATACAATTTTAAAACACTATGCACATAACTTTTTATTTTTTTGGTGCAGAATTCCCCCAGGAGTGGACAGAACTGCTCCTGCCTGAGGAGTCTGAGTAGTAGACGGTGCTGCCCCCCCCCGCCCCCCAAATGTTGGCCCAGCTCCCCAGTCTAACCCTACCCTGCCCTTGTTGCCATGGCCTGAGTATTTTGCACCCACAAGTGGGTTGGAAGTAGCTGGAGGCTCGGCTAAGCCACCCTCTTCCCCTGGTGAATGTAGTGCCCGCTCCAGGTGCACTGCACATGGCCCAATGGCAAATGTAGATAGTATCCTTTATTGCTGATGTTGGCAGTTGGCAAGGCCATCCTGGTGAACAAAGAGGGGCACCAGGCTCATTTCCAGCATGACATGGGCATTTCTTTAACACACAACAAGCAGCTACCCCCCAACTCCCCATGGCTGGGGGTGATGTCAGGCAAAGGGGGGAAGGGATGGACTTTGCAGCATCTCCCCTAGACAGGCTGCCCCGAGAACAACTGCTTCTATAATGTGGTATTCCACTCTGCACCCCTTATTCAGGCCTAGGCCCATCTATGGCAAGAGGTACCACTGCCTCCCTTGACATTCATGGGATTCCTATAACCTAATACTGGGGCACTTTTCCTCCCTGACAGAGCAGCGCAGAAAGCAACTGGTGGGCCTTGTGCTTTGAGTGAGGACAGGGGCAAATGGCATTTTTCATATAATTGTATAAACATGGTGAAAATCCAGCAATGGAGGGAAACATCCCATACATTAAACATCTGCATGGAACAGCCACTCTTCAAGAACATGCAGAGGAGACACACAACAAATGTACACTCAAACCAATGTTCTCTCTGATCTTTTCCATCCATGTGCAGAATTTTTCCTTTTGTGTGCAGAATAATTTTACATGCACCAAGGCATGTGTGAATGTGCACCACCAGTAAACACTTTAAAAGCTGAGCTGTGGACATTCTGTTAATCAGTTGGGCAGCATCTGAATGTCTCCTGAGCAGCTGCACAAGTACACAGCTTACAGGGAACATTGCCCCCAAAAATATACTGCACACAAACCACCTTTCTGTACACAAATGCACATATTCAAACACATACACACACACAAATGAGCTATAAATAAGGCTAGCCTCTCCAGTACCGGGCTCCCTAGAGGGCAGCTGCGCTGGGGCGTTGGCTGCATTTTCATGAAGCCCTGCAGTAAGCACACACCCCCTGCAGCTCTGTATGGGTACCTCTCGTAGTTGGACCAGCTTCCCAGCAGTACCCAGGCAAATGCCAGAGCTGGCCTGGGTATGAGCGAGCAATTGATGCCGTGAGCTCAGCTTGGGGGCCGGTCTGCCCATGTGTTACACTTTCATGGGCTCCATATGGGAAAGGCACATCCAGAATTCACCTCCTGTGCCCCACCAGCCTTCAGCACCTACCCAGCAGGGCCCCAGCTTGGAGCCTGTCTGCTGCTGCTGCCCAAAAAGGCTGCACTGTGCCTGGTGATGCTGAGGGGAGAAATGGCAGCCAGTGAACTGGGGCCTCCAGATCATATCCAGCGTGGTGTTTGTTGCTGCAGCTTGGTCCACAGTGTATGGGAAACCACCCTAGTAGGCCTGACCTGCCCAACAAGCTCAGGAAAAGCCCAGGCTGGAAAGAGCTAGAGGCTTGGCTCCATGCCAGCTGGCTCCAGGGTGAGGCAGAGACACCCATGAGAGAGCCACAACGAACTCCAGGCCCCTTTTGCTTCATGCTGATCATTGGATCCTGGGGCTGCAGCCATCATCCCCAAGAGCTCCAGCTGGGCAGGATCAGAGGCAGCAGAAGCCAGGCAGGGAGTGGGGTAGGGAGCACTGTAAAGAGCTTTGAATATTGACAGTGCAAACCTGGCACCAAGACTAATGCTATGGCAAGTTGAGAGCAAGGTGCCTCCACCAGGACAGCCCATGACAGGGTACAGTGGATCCTGGCTTCTGTGAAGCAGTCCTGGAGCAGCGCATGTGTGATGGAGGTCAGGGACCCTTGTCGATACTCTAACACTGTGCATGGGGGATGCCCTGCCTGAGAGGGCAGGAACAGGCCTTGGCCCTGGCTCTCAGCTGCCCCCCCTTCCCCCAAGCCGCACAGGTTGGCACTTGGTAGCAAAACAGAGGGTGAGGCCAGTCCCACAGCAGCCCAGACTGAGCTTGCTGCAGCCAGCGCCCCAGGGCAGCCCTGATGCCCATCTTCCTGAGAACAAAGTCAAACTCCCACCTGCCAGGAAGGCTCCAGTTAGGGGGCTGGAAGGAGCATCAAAACTCCCATTCTTGGGGGCTGCAAATGCTGTTACCGGCAGGCTCCCTCCTGCCTAGAATACATGGCCCAGGAAGGACATGTATGTGGTCCTCCTGACCTGCCTGCATGAAGCACCATATTGGCGTGGCTGCTACAGCCTGGGAAGCTCCCTGCCAGGGTCACATGAGCAGCATGCATGAGCCTCTGCTCCAGCCCAGCCAGGGGACAGGCTCAAAGATTCTTTGGCTTCTAAAATGCAGTCAAGGAGAAGGCCTAATGAGCCACTCCCTGTCCTGTGCCCTCCCTGCACACGGTATTGCCCAGAGAGAAGGGCCAGGCTGAGGAAGTGCCATGATCCAAGCTCCTCTCAGTCACTCATGCCGGGCACTGATTCTGATGCCGCCCTGTAGACAGGCAAAGATGCTGTGCACACATGCAGGGCCAGGCTGCTGCCTTGTAGCCAAGCAGGAACACAGCGGACTGAGAGTGACAAACATTGCAGCAGTGAGTGATCCTGAGTACAGCCATACAGCCCCAACCTCAGTGGGCTGCCACGCACTGCCCTGGTGGAGCACACCCGGGATCTCCAACCACCCATCCATGCTCTGCATATTAAAAGGCTGCAAGAGCCAAGTGCTGTACACATTTGGTCATTCTCAAAATGGCTTTGGCTTAATTTCTGGGTTCCTACTAATAGGAGCTTGGCGGCCTTGCCCAGGCATGCACTGTGGGTCTCTCTGGAGCTCTAAGCCCAGAGGGCAGCATGTGCTGGCACCCACCAGAGAATAGCTCTTGCGCACTGTACCTGCTGCTCAGGGCACCTGCTCCTGTGCATGTTGCTGGATTAAGGCTCACAGCGGGAGTCACTGCCCACTACAGGGCTGGGCCTGGTTCCTGAATGTGGACCCTAAAATCATTTAGCAGAATCCTCACCATCTATTGCCCAGCACCCCCCCTACTTGGGTGAACAGCCCAGGCTGCGCCAGTTCCCACCACATGGCTTGTGTCATGGTGGCACTGGAGCCTGGCGGGGAGCAAACAGGTCACTCACAGGCACACATTGATCTGCTTTGAGAGCTCACGCTCCAGGTCCAGGATGAGAGCATCGAAGTCTTTGAGATTCAGACAGGGACTGAAGGGCACCTCAGGGTCATCAACCAGGGCAAAATCCCGCACAAAGACTGTCTGGCTATGGCTACTCAGTCCCCGCAGGTCCAACATCTCATTCTCACTGTCGCTGCCAGCCACCTCAGCGTAATCGGCCTCAGGGCCTGGTCCTGCTACCAGCCCATATTCCTGACTGCACACGGCTGGGGGGGCTCTCCAGGCCTCGGGGCCGGTGGCGAGCCACCACCTCGCTTTCCGGCAGATCCAGACGCAGCGCAGGGTGGCGCCGCTGCCGCAAGCAGGTGAGCTGGGCCCCTTCCTGGCCCTCCATGCCACGCTCCTTCCTGTAGGGCACTGCAGAGACAGGGAAGCCAGTCATCTCAACGCTCTCCTCCCAAGCCAGACTGGCCAAGCGGGAGTTACGATCCCAAAGAGAGGAACCAGGGAAAGACTGACCATTGGGGGCTGTGGTTTTATGAGGAGGTGCCCGTATTGATGGGGAAGAAGACTAGCCAGTCAGAAATTCAAATCCCATGAGACAGTCTCAAGCTACGCACTCGACCACCTCCCCATCCACTGTTACGGTGCAGACCTGTGCCAGCACACTTCTCCCCCAGTAGTGAACTCTTCCTGCACCCCTGCCACGCAGCAACCCCCCAGCAGCCCGCTCTCCCTGCAACCCACCATGCAACCCCCCAGCATCCCGCTCTCCCTGCAACCCACCATGCAACCCCCCAGCAGCCCGCACTTCCTGCAACCCACCACACAACCCCCCAGCAGCCCGCTCTCCCTGCAACCCATCATGCAACCCCCCAGCATCCCGCTCTCCCTGCAACCCACCATGCAACCCCCCAGCAGCCCGCACTTCCTGCAACCCACCACACAACCCCCCAGCAGCCCGCTCTCCCTGCAACCCATCATGCAACCCCCCAGCATCCCGCTCTCCCTGCAACCCACCATGCAACCCCCCAGCAGCCCGCACTTCCTGCAACCCACCACACAACCCCCCAGCAGCCCGCTCTCCCTGCAACCCATCATGCAACCCCCCAGCATCCCGCTCTCCCTGCAACCCACCATGCAACCCCCCAGCAGCCCGCACTTCCTGCAACCCACCACACAACCCCCCAGCAGCCCGCTCTCCCTGCAACCCATCATGCAACCCCCCAGCATCCCGCTCTCCCTGCAACCCACCATGCAACCCCCCAGCAGCCCGCACTTCCTGCAACCCACCACACAACCCCCCAGCAGCCCGCTCTCCCTGCAACCCATCATGCAACCCCCCAGCATCCCGCTCTCCCTGCAACCCACCATGCAACCCCCCAGCAGCCCGCACTTCCTGCAACCCACCACACAACACACCGGCAGAGCGGTCCCGCCGGAACGCCCCGA